TAGAATTAAAATTGCTTAACACCAACTGTTCGAGTGCTTCTTTCCAAGTCCATGCAAAACTGTCTTATTCTTGACAACTGTATCCTGTGATGAGATCTGAACCTGGAGAATTAAAATAATATAAACACACTAAGATAATCAGTAAATGTTTAATCGACGATAATCGTGTTATCCTGATTGATATAACCCTGGATAAACGAAACCAAGCCTAATTAACATAACTGCACACATTAACATAATCGCAAGCATCCGCATAAATTACTACGATTATCATAATTTATGCATATAATTACACGCATTATCATAATTTATGCATGTTAATACACACACTATCATAATTAATGCGATTTGCGCATTTTTCGGAAAATTATTAATTTTTATTATTTTTATAAAAAAATTTCATAACCCAACACATACAACATAATGGGGGCTCGTCCGGGATCTCTCACAGACAGTGTTTTGCATGGATGATGGAATGAACCACTACGTGTTAACCAGAATATCGGGATGGAACATTGCATGGTGATTATAAACGGGCGAAAAAAAAACGCCCTCTAAGGTTAAAACCCAGAATAGCAGGTTGAAACAGAGAGTGGAATTAAGATAATACCGTATCAAACCGATTGCATCCTGTGATAAATGGTGTTAGAGGTACGCACTCTGAATCGGAAAAGTACAGGATAGCTCGAGTCAAATTGACTACACTCTGTGAGATAATTGTTTTATATGCACTCTGAAAGGGAATGTCAAAGTAACTCCCGCCACACTTTTGAGATGCTGGGATTAAGAATAATTTTTGAATGGGTTACGGGATACGGGGAGCTCGTATTTAAACGTACCGACCAATCTGTTACAAAGCATTACAGTCAGAGAGACATATGGGAAGGGAGCTGTATCGATAACACGAACACACCTCGGGGGAAACTAATTGACTGGATAAAATGTAACGAAGGCGAACACGATGCAAAAACTGCAGAGAAGGCAGGACAGGACTCATACCTTCTCACACAGGCATACAGACAGGGATTGTGGAATGAGGAAAAATTCGGAAAGGAAACAGGAGAGAAATCGTCTTTAATAAACGAGGAAAAATGTCCTCACACCATCGTAAGGAAGGAGAAATCTGGGCTCGCGACACCAGCGAAACTCACAGATGTTGATCCACAGAATAAATATGGAAGTAACATTAAATCACACTCTTGGGTACGTGGACAGAGTCCAGGGACTAATCGCACAAAAATTATGGATATCGAACAAAAAATCCTTGATAAAGGGAAACCCTCACAATTCGAGAGAAGGGATGGAGAGATACATATGCAAACAAAAACATGTGAGACTGACAACTTCACAGATAGAGGGAGGAAAAATGTTAAAGTAAAGTCGACAGGACATGGTACACTAAGGGCAGAGGCAAAAACTGAAGGGAAATGGCAACACGAGCGACACGGCACTGGGCGCGCACACAAAAAATGCACGCCACTTAAACACAAGCGACACAGCACAGACCAAAGTGACAGATTACCTGATGATAACTTGTTTGATGATGACGCTGTCGGCAATCAACTTTCGGAATACCTATTCACCAGTAAAACCCTTAAGTTGATGGACAAGGCTCTAGTCAGAATTCCCGATTTTGACCCCCACAATAAGTCCATGGATATACATACACATATCGCGACAGTGGAAGAGGAGGCAATGATTAGAGGGCTGATGAGACGGGATGAAAAAGCGAGTTTGTTGAAACGAAGCTTACATAAAGATTCTATCCCATGGGTAAAGTCACTACCACACAAGGATCTGAACCTGGAGAATTAAAATAATATAAACACACTAAGATAATCAGTAAATGTTTAATCGACGATAATCGTGTTATCCTGATTGATATAACCCTGGATAAACGAAACCAAGCCTAATTAACATAACTGCACACATTAACATAATCGCAAGCATCCGCATAAATTACTACGATTATCATAATTTATGCATATAATTACACGCATTATCATAATTTATGCATGTTAATACACACACTATCATAATTAATGCGATTTGCGCATTTTTCGGAAAATTATTAATTTTTATTATTTTTATAAAAAAAATTCATAACCCAACACATACAACAGTGTACACCCATCACCGGAGTGGAAGAATGGCAGGCGCATCTTACAGATGACATGTCGAAGGTCAGTGGGCAGATCAGCTCCACGGTCGGTCCTGGTGTCAAGGACATGGGCCTGCATCCGCTGTTCCGTCACTACGTAGTCCAGCAGATGTTCTTGCTTGGACCCGGCATGCATCCATGATGTTGTGTGGATGCGCCGATCCCGAAACAGCGTGTTGGTAATTACAAGCCCATGGGCTGCACAAAAATCTAGCAGCCTCCTACCGTTGTTATTGAACTGATCTGGCCCATGCCTTCCAATCACTCTAGACCAGGTGCCAGCATTTTGACCAGCTCGTGCATTGAAATCACCCAATAGGATGACTCTATTCCGAGGGGCCTTTAGCCACCACCTGTGACAAGAGGTTATGGAAGGCATCTGACTCATTGGCCTTGCCTGCATCCCTTCACGGATGTTCGTCTTCTGTGGGGGCATAAGTAACCACAACCACCACTCCTCGCCTCCGGTTGATGGGAAGGCGAGCCCAAAGTAATCTGGGGCTTACCGCTTCCCACACCTCACTGCCACGCTCCCATGCCCCCTTAATTATTTTGTTCAGAAGAAGAGCCACTCCCTGTTGTTTGGTAATCTCCTGCCTCGAGTAGAGGACTGTTCACCCCTCGTGGTGGCAGGAGCCAGAGCCGGTCCAGCGGACCTCCTGAACACCACAAAGATCCATGGGGTACCGGTCCAGCTCCCGACAGAGGAGTGGCAGCCTCTCCTCTGGGGTTTGGCCAGGAGACGTCATAGACGCCTGTCCCCCCCTGGCCTCCAGCACAAGCTTTTTAATTACACACACACCACTACACACACACCACACTACACACACTGCACGACACACACACACACACCACTACAAACACACGCACATCTGTATACACACACATGCCACTACACACACAAAAAAGACAAATATCCCTCTTATAGCCTGAACAAACTGTTGGGGCAAGTGCTGCTAGCGACCACCTCTAAAGGCCGGCACGGCACACGAGGGGTGAGTAGCCAGAACTACGCACGGCCGCCTTTGTCTCCCTAGTGGCGATTTTTACACATCGCACCAGGTACTCATTTGAGGCTGAGTCGACCTAGGGGAGGCCCAGGACCGGTTCAGATAATTGCCACTGGTGTTGGCCGTGGGCGAGAATCAAAACCGAGCCGCCAGTTTGTAGCGCAGCGTAGCGCTAACCACTATACTACCGCTCCCCACACACACACTCCACTACACACACCACTACACACACCACTACACACACCACTACACACACCCGTGCACACACACCACTACACACACCACTACACACACACCACTACACGCACACCCCACTACACACACATACACACACACACCACTACACACACCACTACACACACTCCACTACACACACACCACTACACGGACACACCACTACACGCACAAACCACCACTACACACACACACACCACTACACACACACACAACTACACACACACCACTACACACACACACCACTACACACACACCACTGCACACACACCACTACACACACACCACTACACACACACACCACTACACACACACCACTACACACACACACCACTACACACACACACCACTACATACACACCACTACACATACACCACGACACACACACCACTACACACACACCACTACACACACACACCACTACACACACACCACTACACTCACACCACTACACACACACACAACTACACAAACACACCACTACACACACACCACTACACACACACCACTACACACACACACACCACTACACACACACCACTGTACACACACCACTACACACACACACCACTACACACACACACCACTACACACACCACTACACACACACCACTACAATACACACCACTACACACACACCACTATACACACAACTACACACACCCCACTACACACACACACCACTACACACACACACCACTACACACACCACTACACACACACCACTACACACACACACCACTACACTCACACCACTACACACACACACCACTACACACACACACCACTACACACACAGACCACTACACACACACACACCATTACACACACACCACTACACACACACCACTACACACACACACACCACTACACACACCACTACACACACACCACTAAACACACACCACTACACACACACACCATTACACACACAAACACCACTACACACACACACCACTACACACACACCGCTAAATACACACCACTACACACAGACACCACTACACACACACACCATTACACACACACCATTACACACACACACCACTACACACACACACCATTACACATACACCACTACACACACACACCACTACACACACACACACCATTACACACACACACCATTACAAACACACACACACCACTACACACACCATTACACACATACACCACTACACACACACACCACTACACACACACACCACTACACACACACCACTACACACACCACTACACACACCATTACACACACACCACTAAACACACACCACTACACACACACACCACTACACACACACACCACTACACACACACACCATTACACACACACTTCCATTACACATGCCCCAACCGCAGTCTCACGAGGACGACGAGAGTCTCGCTGGATGCGTCGTGCCAACATTTCCGAGCCATTTCCATCCGAGATCAATCTCTGACGAGCGGCGTAATTGATCGTCATTAATTAGGCGATGCGGGTTGTGCGTGCTCAGCCAAGCCTGCAGCAGCAGCATCGCCGCCGCCGCAGCAGCAGTCGTGAACGTGACGCTTCTGTTGCTGCAGTGGGGGATGCAGGGAGGGGATGCAGGGGGGGGGGCACCGCGGTATATGAGCCGCGGGTCGGCACGGAGCTCCCATTGCTCTCCGGACCGCGAGGGCCCAACGACTTCAGCTGCCAGCCTCCGGTGAGTGCGAGAAATCTTCCAGGTCTCCTGTGTGAGTGAGAGACACCAGGTCTCCGTTGTGAGTGTCAGATCCCAGGTTTCTCCTCAATGTGAGATATCCCAGGTTCTCCTGTGTGAGTGAGAGACACCAGGTCTCCGTTGTGAGTGTGAGGTCCCAGGTATCCTCAATGAGAAAACCCAGGTCTCCTGTGTGAGTGAGAAACACCAGGTCTCCGTTGTGTCAGATCCCAGGTCTCCTCAATGTGAGATATCCCAGGTCCTCCTGTGTGAGTGAGAGACACCAGGTCCTCCTGTGTGAGTGTGAGGTCCCAGGTATCCTCAATGAGATATCCCAGATCTCCTGTGTGAGTGAGAGACACCAGGTCTCCGTTGTGTCAGATCCCAGGTCTCCTCAATGAGATATCCCAGATCTCCTGTGTGAGTGTGAGAGCCCAGGTCTCCTCAATGTGAGATCACATGTATCCTCAGTGAGGGCGCATGGCCAGCGGTTAGCGCGCTTCACTACGAACCCGGCCATCCGAGTTCTATTCCTGCTCACGGCCAACACCGATTACGATGATCTGAGCAACCGTTCCTGGGCCTCCTCTAGGTCGACTCAGCCTCAAATGAGTACCTGGTGCGGTGTGTAAACATCGCCACTATGGAGACAAAGGCGGCCGGGCGTCGTGTTGGCCACCCACGCCCTCGTGTGCCGTGCCAGCCTTCATAGGTGCTCGCTAACGGCACTTGCCCCTACAGCCTGTTAAGGCTATGCGTGGGATCTTTGTCTTTATCTTCGTGTGTGGAGCGGTGGCTTCGTGGTGGTGAGCGCACTAACTCCATTCCCGCTCAGGGCCAATATCAGTGGCGAATATCTGAATCGGTCCCGAGCCTCACCTAGGTCGACTCAGCCGTAAAAATGCTGCGTTCCTGGTGCGGTGTTAAACATCAGCACTGAGGATGGGGAAGGGCAGTCGGGCGTGGTTCTGGCCACTCACCACCTCGTGTGCTCGCTAACAGCACTTGGCACAAAAGTATGTTAAGGCTACACGGGGCATCTTTGTCTTTGTTGACACACGTGTGTGGTGACACGCGTGTGTGGTGACACGTGTGTGTGTGGTAACACGTGTGTGTGGTGACACGTGTGTGTGGTGACACGTGTGTGTGTGTGTGGTGACACGTGTCTGTGTGGTGACACGCGTGTGTGTGTGTGTGGTGACACGCGTGTGTGTGTGGTGACACGTGTCTGTGGTAACACGTGTGTGTGTGGTGACACGCGTGTGTGTGTGTGGTGACACGTGTGTGTGTGGTGACACGTGTGTGTGTGGTGACACGCGTGTGTGTGTGTGGTGACACGTGTGTGTGGTGACACGTGTGTGTGTGTGGTGACACGCGTGTGTGTGTGTGTGGTGACACGTGTGTGTGTGGTGACACGTGTGTGTGTGGTGACACGCGTGTGTGTGTGTGGTGACACGTGTGTGGTGACACGTGTGTGTGTGTGGTGACACGCGTGTGTGTGTGTGGTGTGTGTGGTGACACGTGTGTGTGTGTGGTGACACGTGTGTGTGTATGGTGACACGTGTGTGTGTGGTGACACGCTTGTGTGTGTGTGGTGACACGTGCGTGTGTGTGGTGACACGTGCGTGTGGTGACACGTGTGTGTGTGGTGACACACGCGTGTGTGTGTGGTGACACGTGCGTGGTGTGTGTGGTGACACGTGCGTGTGTGTGGCGGCTGACTTTATGCGACTCGGAGTCGCAGTGCGGCAGCTGCCGCTGCTGTTGCCATCGCCACGCGCTCGAAGTGGGACAGAACTTAGTGACGGAATCGACCTCCCGTCCACTTTGACGAAGCTGTCAAACACAGGCGGGTCACTGATCGTCGCGTTCAGACAAGTTCGTGGGATCGAGAGGTATGGCGCTGTGACCGATGTGAAGGGAGCGACGCAGTGCGGCAGTGACAATGCAGCGATTGGTGCAGCGGGTGGGTGAGTGGTGTCGTGGGTGGGTGGTGTAGTGGGTGGGTGGTGTAGTGGGTGGGTGAGTGGTGTCGTGGGTGGGGTAGTGGGTGAGTGGTGTGGTAGGTGGGTGGTGTAGTGGGTGAGTGGTGTGGTAGGTGGGTGAGCGATGCAGTGGCTGGCTGGCTGGGTGATGCAGTGGCTGGCTGGGTGGGTGAGTGATGCAGTGGCTGGCTGGCTGGGTGATGCAGGGGCTGGCAAGGTGGGTGAGTGATGCAGGGGCTGGCTGGGTAAGCGATGCAGGGGCTGGCTGGGTGGGTGAGTGATGCAGTGGCTGGCTGGCTGGCTGGGTGATGCAGGGGCTGGCTAGGTGGGTGAGTGATGCAGGGGCTGGCTGGGTGAGTGATGCAGGGGCTGGCTGGTTGGGTAAGCGATGCAGTGGCTGGCTGGCTGGGTGATGCAGTGGCCAGTGGCTGGCTAGATGGGTGAGCGATGCAGTGGCTCAGTGGGTGGTGATGCTGCGGAGGTCCGCAGTGCAGGAGGCGTTACACGCGACGGATGGAAGTCGCAGTGCGGGCGGTTCCCTGGCTCGACCTCGTCTCTGACGCTGCAGTTAATGGCACGCAACGCGCCCACTGCCACGAATCATTTCAGCCGGAGCTTGTCCCGGGGCTGAGCTCCAGAAATTACAAAAAAACGTCCTCATTTCACAGCTTTGCCCCACGCGTTGAAAAGACACCGCGGGGAGAACACCCTCGCCCTGCAGCTCAGGGGCGACGGGGCCGCTCGGCCGCACCCCCGCGGTGAAATCGCCGCGGTTACTCCCAGAGCCGAGCGGCTCTCTCCCGGTCACAGCGCGGCGCTCCGGAGGGGGGGGGGGGGGAATTGAGAGTCGGTGTGACCCCCGGGGTCAAACAGAGCGACGCGCATCTTGCCACGGCACAGTCCTCGTGCGCACCGACACAAAGTGTCCCTCCGCGTGGCCCGAGCCACACTCACGGGACTGGCGCTCAGGCTGGCAGCGAGCACCCAATGAAGGCCGCCTAATTCATTCATCAATTATTAATGATAATAAACGTTGTTGGGTTCAAAAAGTGTGAGTTAAATTATGAGTTAAATGATGACGTCACCCTGCTGCTCTATTTAAGACCGGGAGCAAGTGGAGGGCTTCACCATTCTGGCGAATTGCCCGATGCTGCTGGATGTAATTACCAGCGAAACGTCGTACTCAAAAATTGTAAATGTTGTGGATTCACTCTTCAATACACCGGTGGGCTAAAGTAGTGAACTATTTGTCTTTTGTCAACGTGACACTTTTTTACTGTTTGGCCGTGTCAGGTGGTGGAGGGTTACGACACATTTATAAATAACGCGATCTAAACCCAAAAACGTTGATTATGAATAATATTGGTCGCGAAAGCCTACGTGTTAAACTGAATCATTAATTAATTAAACAATCGCCTCGGGCCCCAGGCGAATCCTCCGGGCTAGGAGACGCACGCTCCCCCCATGTATTGTTAAGCAACATTTGGGGGATGCTTCTTATATACCAGTACGCGTGTACCTGTGTGTGTATGGGGCGCGGTCGTGTAGCGCTTAGCGCTGCGATACGAACCCGGCGACGCGGGTTTCGATTCCCACTGACGGCCAACACAAGTGGCGATAATCTGAATCGGTCCCAGGCCTCTGCTCGGTCGACTCAGCCTCATATGAGTACCTGATGCGATGCGTAAACATCACCATTGGGGAGACAAAGGCGGTCGGGCGTGGTTTTGGCCACCCACCCCCCGTTCAGGCTGTACGGGGGATGGATTTTTGTCTGACTGAGCACGCGAGCGCGAGCTGTGGACAGCACCTACCACTATGCCTGGCCGCCCTTCGCCCTCTGCAGTGCTGATGCATTGACACGCGTCGTAAACGTTTGAGGCTGAGTCAACCTAGCAGAGGACCGGAATAGGGAGATCACGATCACCACTGTGGCCGCAGCACGTGGTGGACGACCCCGACCCTTGACCCCGTGCCCCCGAGGGGCATCACCGGTCCGCCCAGTGTTATGTAGACATTCAGGTGTAGACACTGAGTTGTAGAGACTCTTTAGGCTGCAGCAGTCTCTCACTGGGGAAACGCTTCACTTCCCAGCGCCCCTACATCCTTCAGTGCAGTTGCAGCCACCACCGCCACCTCCTGGCCATCTTCTCGACAGCCACCACCTCCTCTCCATCTTCTCTCTCGTTAAACAAAGATGGTCACTGCATGATGCGCTTTCAGATGTGCTTCTGCGGCTGTCTGGAATGCTCTTTCTTCTGATACAGTATTAGGAAGCCACTGGAGCTATGCACTTTTAAATCTAGTTTGAAAACTCATTTCTTTAAAACCGTTTTTTGTGTTTGGTTTGTTGTCTCTCCCCCACACCTCCAATTGGCACGGTGGGCTACATACAATGTGAAAGAAGTTCAACATACAAACATTGCCAAACCGATGGTCCACATATTCTACCTTTCAATTCTTAAGGCATCCATCTCTTCTGAATGAAAATCTCCTCTTTGCCCCCTCTCTCCTTCTCCCTGTCCGTCTCTCTCCCCTCCCCTCTCCCCGTCTCTCCCGCCTCCCCCAGACGACACCATGAGCTCCTACACCTCCGACTCGGCCGTCACCTCCATCTACCGCCGCCATTTCGGTGAGGCCCTCAAGTACCGGCCGAGCTACGAGATGCCGGGCTACCGCGCGGGCTCGGCCTACGGCGGGGCGCGCTCCGCCTCCGCCGCGTCCACCTACGGCGCGCTGCCGCGCCGCGCCGGCCACACGCGCTTCTCCGCCGGCTACTCCCTGGGCGCCTCCTCGTCCATAGACACGGTGGACCTGTCGCAGGCCGAGAGCGTCGGCATCGAGCTGCGGCAGGTGCGGCGGCACGAGAAGGAGCAGCTCCAGGGCCTCAATGACCGCTTCGCCGGCTTCATCGAGCGCGTGCACGAGCTGGAGCAGCAGAACAAGGTGCTGGAGGCCGAGCTGATGATCCTGCGCCAGAAAGAGGAGAAGCCGTCCAACGTCAAGCGACTGTACGAGCAGGAGATCGCCGAGCTGCGCGCCCTTGCCGAGGAGTGCCGCGGCGAGTGCGCCGGCGCCGGGGGCGCCCGCGAGCAGGCGGAGGTGGTGCTGGCGGCGTTGCGTGACAAGCACGAGGAGGAGCGCCGGCGGCGCGAGGAGTCGGAGGCGGCGCTGGACGAGGCGAGGAAGGCGGCGGACGAAGAGGCGGCGCGGCGCGCGGCCCTCGAGCAGAAGCTGGGCTCCCTGCTCGACGAGATTGGCTTCCTGAAGCGCGTGCAGCGCGAGGAGATCTCCGAGCTGCAGGCACAGATCCAGAGTGCCCACATCACCGTGGAGATGGGCGCATCGCAGCCAGACCTCACGTCGGCGCTGCGGGAGATCCGCTCGCAGTACGAGGTGCTCGCCGCCAAGAACATGCAGGTGGCTGAGGAGTGGTTCAAGAGCAAGTTCACGGCACTGTCGGACACGGCGAGCCGCAACACCGAGGCCATGCACGTGACGCGCGAGGAGCTCTCCGAGTTCCGTCGCCACGTGCAGCACCGCACGCTGGAGGCCGAGGCGCTCAAGGACATCATCGAGTCGCTGGAGAAGCAGATCCAGGAGCACGACGCGCGGCACCAGGGAGAGATCGAGGCCCTGCAGGTGAGCGCGGGGTCGCGAAACGACGCGGGGGGGGGAGGTGGGGCGGTGGATCGGTGAACGGCTCCAAGGTGGACGTTCAACGGGGAGATGGAGCGGCGAAACCGCCTCGCGCGCCGGTTGCCCGTTGCATCGTCGCAGGGTCGCGTGAGACTGCGACGGCTCTGGGGAGGCCTTCATCCAGCAGTGGATTGATCGTGGCTGACGAGTATGATGAGGTCACAGAGCCTGGAGCTTTCATCTCTCACCATTTTCCAGGTCGCTGATTGGCTGGGGGTAGGTTTTGCGTGTGACTCGTATTAGTCACGGCCATAGCGAGAGGCTTACTGGATGTGGTGTGCCGGACACTCGGATAACGGCCGAGCAGCCAGGGTGTCCCTCATGAGGAAGACAAGCGAGGCTTATGAGAAAAGGATGTGCGGCGAAATGGCAGAGTTCTGCACCGTTACTATTTGAGTGCACAGAAAAGTGGGTCTCTAACCGGCACCGAGTTGGCAATCAGCCAAATATACCCGGCAGAACCCTCCCTTGCGTACGTATCTTGAGACTCCGCAAAATCTCTCCTTGGCGAGAAGTGCAGCAGATTACAATGGCAACGAGCGGCCGCGTGACTCAGCGGTGGAGCGAGTGGCTCCCAGTGGGAAGGTCGCGAGGTCAAATCCTGGTCGGGGGGTTGGGGGAGGGGGTTGACTCGGCCCATCATCCCTTCCTCCGGGGGCGATAAAGCGAGAGTCCCCCTTCTGTGGGGAAGTCAACGGTGGCTGTGTCATATCATGGGACCTTTTTGCCAGTATTAAAGTATGAAAAATAAGAATAGGTTTCAGAAGGCTGTCTCTGGTGTAGACCAATGCATATATAATTATCAGAGCTATATTCTGTTTTCATGTTCACCACAAGTACTGCGTGTGGTTAATGCAGACTTTATTCCTTGCAGAAGGTATCTATTTGGTGTTTGAACATCTGGAATACCTCCTGTTTTATTGCCAAAGGATAAAACCTATTTTTATTTTTCAGTGGTTGTGTCCTATGCATAGACTCGCCCCCGCCGTAGTAATGTGCAATTTCCCCCACTGGCTGTGCAGGGTTGTAAACAGGAGATGAGCATCGGTGTTTGAATGCTCATTTGACTGCCGCCGCGGTGAGGATCGCGAATCTTCACCTCCGCCCACCGCGGTGCATCCTGCGGGCCCCACGAAGCGAGGTGTCTGACCGTGACCTCTCTCTGCCCCCCCCCCCCCCACCGCCTGCAGGAGGGCATCGCCGAGCTGGAGACGGAGCTGCAGTCCGCCAAGAGCGAGATGTCGCGCTACCTGAGGGACTATCAGGACCTCCTCAACGTCAAGATGGCACTCGACATCGAGATCGCGGCCTACCGGTGCAGGCTCATGATCCCGGGCCGTGACTCCGCTCAGGAGTTCAAGTTGCAAAGGGACAGGGGGCGTGGGCCTAGGCAGAGGGGAAGGCCTCGAGCCTGGACTTGCACAGGGGCAGCGAGACGACAGCACGGGTGACTGGGGGAAGGGGGTTCCAGACTGTGGGGGCAGCAGAGGAGATTGGGCGACCTCCCATCTGAGTCAAGGTTTGAGTGGGGGCTCTGACAGAATGCCTGGTTTGCTGGGGCAGAGAGTGAGTGAAGGGGAGTAGAGTGAGATGAGAGGGGAGAGGTAGGAGAGTGCGTGGAGGGGAGTAGAGTGAGATCGAGAGGGGGAGGGAGGCAGGGGGATTCCAGGGAGGATCTTGCAGGCGGTGAAGATTGCGATATTGAAGTTGGATTGGGGGGATAGGGGGGATGGGGTGAGCTTCCATGACGGGTGTGGCGAGATATTTGGCAGCGGAATCCTCCGGTACAAATCGATATAGACACACAGCACGGTCCAACAGTGGAAAGAGCAAGGTTTCTCCAGCGCAGGTTTCCATGGTCGTGCCGCGGGTCGCTCGGCACGTCGTTCGGCACGGTGGTTCGCCCCGCGCGCTGGAGGCTCCCGGTGCGCGCAGCGAAACGTCGGACATCGGTACCAAGCAACGCGCGATGCGACCCGAAAACCGCAACGGAGAGTTACAAAAAAAATCTTCATGAAGTCTGCATCCGATTCCTGCATGCGTCTCTCCACAGGAAACTGCTGGAGGGCGAGGAGTCCCGGTTGGTCACCGCCAAGTCACCGGCGATGCTCATGAGCGGCGGCGGCGGTGGCGGCGGCGGTGGCTTCCTTCAGCAGTTGCGCCCGGCGCGCACCTCCATGCAGATGCCCTCCAAGTACCTGGGCCTCTACGACTTCTACGGAGGCTTCCCTCTCCGCGGCGACGAGGGCGGTGACAGCTTCGAGTCTTTCGTCTTCTCCAAGCGCAAGGGCAACTAGCCGCCGGCGTCACCATTGGCGTCCGTGCGAGAACCGGCCCCTCGGTTACCCACGACCCCCCCCCTCCACACCGGGCAGGGCTTGCGTTTGGCAGTATGGCCGTGCCGGTCCGGCTCCGTCCCGGATCTTGTCGTGTCGAGACCTCGCCACGCCGAACCCCGAAATACTCCCCGCCCCCCCCCCCCCCCCCCCCATGCTCAATGCCAACGTCGCTCGCGGTGCTCGTACGCTGCCCGGTCGTCCGCTCCTCCACCCGTCCACACCCACGACTGTGCCAGGACCCCCAACTTAGAGGGTGGAGGTGCCCAAAAATGTACGAGAATCTTCACTCGTCAATTGGCGAGCGTACGATCCGGCGATTTCTGGTTCGCGTAACGAAATGCTCGTGGGGCTAGAGCATCGTGCAGTTTACGATGCCAGTGTTCAGCCATGCCCTCCACCGCCCGACAGAACCAATCGAGATGTCATATGGGGATAATCAGAGCCGCCACCCCATTCGGTTTGTTGGTAAAACCGGTGGGGGGGAGGAAGGTCGAAAAGTGAGCCAACTCGGTGTACGTGTGCAGCCTACACGTACAACGACGTCTGTATATTACAGTGATGGAAATAAGCAATGGTATGAAGCAATACGAATAATAACAATGATTAATTACTGGCATTCTAGGGAAGTAATCGTAACAATGAAGACGTATTTGAGATGTTTGCCCAACACTGGTTGTTGCATCGAATGTTTGAACGGAAATTCCCCTGCTGAGCATCACGTGTCGGGCGCAGCACGATGTGAACTGCAATTGTGAAACAAGACTTGACCTGGCTCTCTGTCCCGAACCAAAATTGGCCAAAGGCGTGTGCCCTGGGCCTAGGCGAGAGCTCCTCCACGCTCCCCCTCCACGCCCCCCCCCTCCTGCAGAGCTTGGTTCACCGCCCACTCACCCTCTCGCTCGCTCTCTCGCTTACCAACTCGCTCACTCTCTTGCTCACCTTCTCGCTCTCTCACCCTCTTGCTCGCTCTCTCGCTCGCTCTCTCGCTCACCAACTCGCTCGCTCTCTCGCTCACCAACTCGCTCGCTCACCCTCTCACTCGCTCTCTCACTCACCAACTCGCTCGCCCTCTCACTCGCTCCCCTCTCGCTCGCTCTCTCGCTCATCAACTCGCTCGCTCTCTCGCTCACCAACTCGCTCGCTCACCCTCTAACTCGCTCTCTCACTCACCAACTCGCTCGCCCTCTCACTCGCTCCCCTCTCGCTGGCTCTCTCGCTCACCCTCTCACTCGCCCTCTTGCTCACCCTCTCGCTCGCTCACCAACTCGTTCACCCTCTCACTCTCTCTCACCCTCTCACTCTCTCTCACTCACCCTCTCGCTCGCTCTCTCACTCACCAACTCGCTCGCTCTCTCGCTCACCCTCTTGCTCGCTCACCCCCTCGTCCACTCGCTCGCTGTGAACGCATCTCCACGACAAAACTAGGGACCGAGATCGGCAAAACCGAGGCTGTTGCAAAGCCGGGCGCCGCGCGATCGGTGATGGGAATCTCTCTGCCACAGGCGCAGGGACGGATAAACGCCACGGACTGCCACCAACGACACTGGTGCAAATCGTGCCGCTGCTCGTCGCACGGGGCCCACGGTTGGTTGGGTCTACTCGGCCGCACCGTCGGCTCTCGCTGCGATTTGACGCCGTCGTCACGGACGCCGAGGGAGAGAGATATATAGACGACGCAACTTTGAGGTGCGGTGCAACGCCTCTTCTGGCGCGATCTCGGTGCATAGTTTCGTCGACGCGACGACGGGTGGCAAGCCCCTGGGGGTTGCTCAGCCGCTCGGGCGGTGCGGGGTGGTGGCTTCGGCGTGCGTCGGGATTGTCGTCGCGATCGTAGCAAGCGGAGCAATCGTAGCGAACGAATCCACGTCGTGTCCTCGTCGTGCGAGTGTGCCGCTTGGCGTTGGCGTTGCGGCACGGGAAATGCAGCCCGAGTCTGAATGAACGAATAAAAACTTCGCTATCGCAACAAAACCACTCCCGGTGTCCTCCTGTTTGTGCGGTTGCTTAGGAGGCACAGCGCGACGTCGCCTCGATATTTTTTATTTTATTTTACGAGGTAAGGCCTCCTGAGCTGTATAGCTCTTTTTTTAGAAGCGATCTGGCCACAAATGATAGCTCAACGAAGTGGCTTATCATCACGTGGAAATTTAGAGCAGCCAAATACTCTGAACGCGTGATGTTGATTCTAACTGTGGAGGGAAAAACCGGACCCGGAGAAAATCCACACGACCACGGGAAGAGAGACACGCGAACTTAAATATACAGCAGGCGTTCGGGTCGGGTTCGAACCCACAACCTCCTGTATACCAGGCGAGGTAGTTAACATCTCGGACCCACATTGAACAGAGAAGGTCCTCGCCTCTATAAACTTCTGGTCTCGTGCGACCTCAGGAGACTAAGGCAGCGTTATCTGCATTGTAGCCTGGGGCATAAGGCTGTGAAGATTTGGCAAATCTGGCAACGTATGGTCACCGACACTGCCACACGACGGGCTACCCTCGCAATCGACGCTGGGGGATCCTTTAGCGTCCGCTGTGAAGCGGGCGGCGTGGAGTATTGCCACGGTTACTACACCCGCATCACCGACCAGGACGGCCACTGGATTCGACCCGTGAACCTCCGCCCTGGCTTGCCCTGGTGGAAACACTTCGGGCGTAGGATGATGGCTGCGGATTGGTGGGATCGTCCTTCAATTTCGGGGTTGTTAAATGATGTTGCTGTCAAGTTGCCGATAGACACGGGAGGCCGCAGCGACAATTATTCGAACGGATATATTTGATTATTTGATATCTTGCCTAAACAAGGGGGTTCGTTAAGGCTAGTGCATTAAACATGTTGGTGGGGTGGGGGGGGTCTTTGAAATATTGAAATTTTATTGGGAAAAATGGTGGTTGTGGCTCCCGGTCCTGGTGTCGTCCACACTCGGTGTTCCATGTATTATCGGGACTGATGTGTTGGGCATGTTGCCAGTAAACATTGATGCGACAGAGGAGGTGGGTTTAAACGCCTGCTGGGGTTATTTCCCTTTGATTCGGCCGCGTGTTCAGGAAACGGCCAATTGTGCGGTGCAGGGGTTGTTGTCTTGTGCGGCGGCTATCCCCCCACGCTCACACCGTTAACTTTACGGACGCTTGCTTGTTTTGAACCAACGCGGCTGCTGCAATAAAAAACGACGAGCGTTGGGGTCGCGCGAGTCCCGCTTCTAAGGAGGGCTGTGGAACTAAACCGGTCAAGGTTCAACGTTGCCCCCTTGCACGCACTGTGTGCGCTCACCGACCTACTCACCTACCCACTCGCATACCCACCTAATCACCTACCCACTCACTCACCCACCCACCCACACACGCACACCCACCCACTCACCTACCCACTCACTCACCCACCTATTCACTCACCCACCCACTCACCAATCCACTCGTCCACCTATGCACTCAGCTACCCACTCACCTACCCACTCACATACCCACCCACCCTCTCACCTACCCACTCACTCATGCATCCATTCACCTACCTGCTTAACCACCCACTCACCTACCTAGCTATCCACTCACCCACCCAGTTACCTACCCACTGACTCACCCACTCACATACCCACCCACTCATGTACCCACTCACTCACCCACCCACTCACACACACCCCCTCACCCACTTACCAATAACCTTGCTCAAACTAAGACACGTTATAGTCTATTAGACCTCTCACAGTGCTGAGTGTTGCCGACTACTTGACGTGCAAGCCTGTAGCTGTGGCACGCGCTCGGAACAGCCACTCCACTCGGCGCCGCAGTGGTGAGATGTTCACTACCTCGCCTGGTATAAAGGAGGTTGTGGGTTCGATCCTCACATTGACACCTGCTGTATATTTGGAATTTTAGTATTCTCCGGCGGTCGCGTGGATTTTTCTCGGGGTCCTCCGGTTTTTCGCTCTGCATTTAGAATCAACATGGAACATTTAAAGTATTTGGCCGCTATAAATTTCCACCAGATAATCCACTTCGTTGGGCTATCATTTGTGGCCAGGTCACTTCTACGCTTCGAAAGAAAGAGCTACGTGACTCAGCGGGCCTTACCTGGTAAAACAAAACATAGTTTAGTTTAATAGTTGAGAGTTCGTGCGAAATACGATTCAGGCAGCAAAGGGGAAAGACTCGTCCTTCTCGCTTTATTAGAACCTCGAGCCGCCGCAGCCTCGAAACAAAGTGGCCCTACGCTTAAATCAGAGGAGCATCGATTGTAATCACTCGGGGATCCGGGCGAGCACTGCAACAAATCACTGCGGTCGCGCGAGAGCACACGCGGCAATTTAAGTAATTAAATTAGCTAGAAATGACCGGCGGCCTTACGATTCATGGCCAGTGTCATTCTAATGCCTCTTGGCAAATGTCCCGACCCAACGTAGATGCGCGGGTCGGGCCCAGCGATGATCCCTCCCCTCCGCCACGGTCATTTCAGCCCGCCGGTGACTTGAGACATTTCTGACAAATCTCGAGGCGTGTCGCGTTCACTCGGCAATGCCGCATGGTGGAGGGTTAACGACACAAATTTTTTACCGGATCAACGCGTGGCCTAACCCCAAAAAAAAGGAAAAAACCCACGACTCATCATGTTGGTTGTGGTAAGTTACAGTTAATAGATATCCCGTCGACTATGGAAGCCGAGCATGGTGTCCGGCGGTGTCCCGCGGTGGCTGCCGCTACCGCTGGCGCCGGGACGGTCGGCGTTCTCGGGAACGCGCGCCGAGCGGGGGGCCCCCTCCCCGCTGCTCAGCCGCTGCGGCCGAGAAACTTGTGCTCGTACTCCTTGCGCTCCTCAAAGTCGTCCGACGGGCGGTTGTACGGCGTCCACACGGGATCGCCCGCAAACAGCCGCATGACCTTCACGTAGTTCTGTCGACACGCACCCAGAGAGCGACAACCGCAGCGACCACCACCACGATCTCCGATTAGCACGGCTGGCTACATGCTGCACGAAAGACGCACACGACGCACACATGAGAACCGTTCGGCGGCGGTGGCCACCATGAGGCCCCCCCGCGCCGCCCCCCGAGGAGTTGAGCGGCAACTGGGACGGCCGCGCCACGGCCAGTGCCGGATGATCCCAGTAGCAAAGTAGCTATATAATGCTACGGGCCCCGCACTTTCAAGGGCCCCGCGCTAAATGCTTTCAAGCTATCAATCCCGGTTCAGTGATTCTGCACTTGCTCTATTACTATAGTACTATACTGCCTTCAACTTTTATGAACGACTGGGTGTTTAAGGTTAGCGATTTATTGTATTATCTGGCTGTACAGCAAATGAAAAAATACAATTAATTTACTATGCAAGTTAAACATTTATGTGTTGTAATATTTGTGTTTTTTTTTATTTAGGGCCCCTTTATAACATATGCTACAGGCCCCGCACTAGCTTAATCCGGCACTGGCCACGGCCGACAGCTAAGCGGCGTCGTTGTTACCGCAGCAGCAGCACCAGCAGCACCGAACCAAACTCCACTGCTATCACAAGCAGCGGATGCAACACAACTGGCGATACTTGGCGATACTTGGCAAACAACTTTTCCTCCTCGAGGTTGTTGGGGATTCTTAAGATTTGTTTGATTTTCAGTTCAACGTGGAGTTGCCCGTATTTGTTTCGCAATTACCATAGGGACATGTTGAAAGTGAAATGCACGTTTGCACCCTAGTCTCTCAACAAGAGCGGAGACTGACCTCCAGAAAGCGATCCACGGGCTTGGACTCTGCAATGCCGCCCGACACACGTGTGTCCTCGCAAGTGTTTCATCGGCGATATTCACGTCACGTGGCCAAGCGACGCAGCGAGGCAATGACCGTGGCCACCAAAAAGTTTGCGGTTGTGAGATGTTAACTACCTCACCCGGTACACAGGAGGTCATGGATTCGATTCCGACCCTGACACCTGCTGTATATTTGGAGTTTGCATGTCTCTCTCTCTCCCCATGGAGCTGTTAACTGCCTCGCCCAGTATACAGGAGGTCGTGGGTTCGATTCCGACCCCGACGCCTGCTGTATATTTGGAGTTTGCGTGTCTCTCTCTCCCCGTGGAGATGTTAACTACCTCGCCTAGTATACAAGAGGTCGTGGGTTTGATCCCGACTGTAACGCCTGCTGTATATTTAGAGTTTGCATGTCTCTCTCTATCAGGGGTGAAATGGATTTTTCTCCGGGACCTCCAGTTTTTCCCTCCAACATCACGCGTTAAGAGTATTTTGGCTGCCATACATTACCACGTGATAATCCATCTAGTTGGGCTATCATTTGTGGCCAGGTCACTTCTATAGAAGAGCGCTATAGCTCAGTGGGCCTTACCTGGTAAAATTAAATTAGTTTAAAGTTTGATCCTTTTAAGTTTTTTTTTTTTTGCCACATTTTCATTAAAAGCCCCTTGACAATTTCCGCCAGTTTTCTCCAGGGGCAGAATTCCGAACGGCGACGCAACCTCACGCTCAAGTTGTGTTCGTATGAGATCGTCTTTAACAGAGGGGGGGAGGGTGGGTTATCGCAACCCCCAGTTACGGACGGACGGATGGAGCCAACACCTAAATGCTTTCTTTCAACCTTAGTTGGGACAGCGGCGACTAAAAAAAAAGTTCGAAAATAATGGGAGATGTTAAGAAAGAGCCGGAAAAGCATGAGCATCACCGCTGGCGACGACTCGAGACGGGCGACGTTGGGGACGGTTTGGACGCGCGCGAGGAGTGGACGCGGAGTGGTCCCCGTGCGACGGCATGCGGCCCGGCGCAGAGGGAGCCCGCGTGGGGGAGAGTTGAAGTCTACGGGCCGGGCGAGAGCTGCGGCTGGCGCAGAGCGCTCCTCACAAGGCCAGCGGGGTCACGGTGGGTCGTGCGAGTCAGGTGGAGAGACGGCACGATCGAAAGTGCGATAGGGAAACGACCGGACCAGGCGGTGACCCGCTGCGGTCTGCGCTCCTTCAATGGAGGAGCGGCAAAACGACACGAACTCTCTCTCTCCTGAAGCCCTCTCGTCGTGGCCTGCAGCAGCAGCGTAATCTCCACATTGGCATTCAGCGCCTGAACGTATTGCCATACGCAATAAGAGCTAAAGATACATAGCCATCCACAGAGATACATAGAGACCCATAGAGGCACATATAGAGATGAAGACGAACGCTATAGCCAACGTTACCGTGAGAGGAAAACTAAGGTGCGACAATGTACCGATAGTAAGTAGAAGATGAAAAAATAATATGCTTTACCCTATCCGGCAATAATACCGGAGGCGTTAAGATGTTTAGTCGCCAAATAGGCACCGATCGCAAGGCAACAAAATGGCACCATAGAGAGTAAGTAGAAGAGTCCGTGGATTGGAGAGAGTGCCGTTTGCTAAGGGCGGGCTCATCGGGTTCGCGAGATCGACCCACGAGGGCTTTCCGTCACACGGTCTGCAGACTCCACACCGCAGCCAGAGGGGGAGCGGAGGGGGCGCGAGTGGGGCGCCCCGCGCGACCGAGGGGGCGCGTGGCGACAGTGCGTACATTGCTGTCCAGCGTGAAGCGGTGGTAGATGCCAGCGGGCAGCGTGATCATGTCGCCCCGGCGCACGGCCACGCGCACCCAGCGCTCGGCCTCGTCGCGCACGTCGAAGTAGCCGCCGCCGTCGAGGACGTAGCGGATCTCGTCGTCGCGGTGCAGGTGCTCCTTGTAGAACGAGGCGAGCTGGGGGAGGTGGGTGGGGGGGGGTCACGGAGAGGTCATAGAGTCGTCATGGGGTCACTCCACGTGCACCGAGTCACGTATGACTGCGTATGTGCGTGCTAAAAGCACCTCGCCCCAATGATATGTTCAGGCTACACGGGGGATCTTTGTCTTTGATATCTCTGGGTGTCAGCGGTGCCTGCGTGTGTGCGAGTGACATCCGTTTCTGAGTGCGTGGAGCGGTGGCGTAGCGGTTGACGCGTTGCGCTACAAACTCTGTGTCCCGAGTTGGATTCAAGGCCAACACCAGTGACGATTATCTGAACTGGTCCTGGGTCTCTCCTCAGTTCAGCCTCATACAAGCACCTGGTGCCATGTGCAAACATCGCCGGAAGGGAGACAAAGGCGGCCGGGCGTGGCGCTGGCCACCCACGCCTATCGTGTGCCGTGCCAGCTTTCATGGGTGCTACTCGCTTCCAGCACTCGCCCCAACAGTCTGTTAAGGCTATACGGGGGGGGGGGGGGGGGTGAATCTTTGTCTTTTGCGCATTTCTTTTGCATGCCTTTGGAGATAAGCAGCGATTTGCGACTATCGCAATCGCCGTGGGGTTGAGGATCGGCGCCGCCGTACGTCCACGCACGAAGCCATTTCACGACGACCGGGGTGCGTGTGCGCCCGCGACTCCTGGTCCCCGGTGAACGCCGCCCGCCGTCGCGAAAAACCGCCTCCGCTGGCGTGCACCTTCTGCTCGTAGTCGGCCATCGCGTCCTTCCGGATGGTGATGATGTCCATGTAGGAGTAGCCGAGCTCCTTGCGGATCGCTCCGAGCTCCGGGTCGTTCTCGTAATCGTCGGCGTTGAGCTGCGCGGGGGCAAAGGAGGTGCAACTGGTCGGACTGAGCGCCAAACTCCACGGCCGCACCACGGATCCTCCCCTCTGCCGGATGGCTAAACGCGATTCACGGGAGATGTGGATTTGAATTTGGGCGAATCATCTCCTCCCATTTCCTCCACCGTCTCCGCGTCGCTATGCCACCCACCACCTCCACTTCCACCCAGCCCTTGATTTCAGTTTCACTTCAGCTGAGAACCAGAACACAGAAGGGAATGTTCATTTCGACTGCAGGAGGAATCCGAGTAGTTATGAAGCTCTTTTCACGGATGTTCAGTCGGCGCAGGGGTCAGTAAATTACAACGACAAACAATACACAAACATGTGAGAAGACAATCCCCATCCGAGAAATATTACCGTGAGAAATAAATCTGCACCTTTACCCATCACAATAACTTTCACACCCATCACCACCACTCCCCCACCCATCACCACCACTCCCCCACCCATCACCACCACACAATTACGTGGCAAAACATGCGAAGAAACCTGTTCGGTTACTATACGCATTGTCTTTGAAACTCATTGGACTATACCAGAGGCAGTGGGCCTTCTCCATGGCCAAGTCTCACCACCAGCGTCAGACCACAGAACGCCAAAGAGGCGAAGGGTAACACAATTCCACTCGGAACAGACATCAAAGACAAAGGCACGTAGGTAAAAAAATAATAAATGAAAATAACTAAATTAAATTACGTTTCGAAACCCATAAAGCTCCACCCACCAACATCCAGGCACCCATAAAGCTCCACCCACCAACATCCAGGCACCCATAACGCTGCACCCACCAAATTCCACCCAGTTCCGGATTCTCCCAGTAGCTACATGTGTCTCTGTGCCTGCTACATGTGTAGCTACACATGTAGCTACATAATGTTACGGGCCCCGCACTTTCAAGGGCCCGCGCTAAACGCTGTCAAGCTATCAATTCCGGTTCAGTGACTCTGCACTTGCTCAATTACTATAGTACTATACCGCCTTCAGCTTTTATGAACGACTGGGTGTTGAAGGTTAGCGAGTTGTCGCATTATCTGGCTGTATAGCAAATGAAAAAAATACGATTATTTTACTGTGCAAGTGAAACATTTGTTTTAATATTTGTTGTTTTATTTAGGGCCCCCTTTATAACATCGCACGCTACAGCCCCCCCACACTAACTTAATCCGCACGCAACCATTCACAACAACAACATCCGGGCACACGAGTGCAAGAACGACGACGATGGTGTCGACGATGATGGCGATGATCGTGGCGATCGCTGCCGGGGCCACCACCTTCCAGTGCCTCACGCCGAGGCGGAGCAGCGCGGCGGGCGACACGGGCACGTTCGGCCGCAGGCGACACGGGGAGCGCGGCTCGGTGCCCGCGGGGTCCATCAGCCACGCGTCCGACATCGCCGCCGCCGTCGCCACCGCTGCTCCTCGGCCACCGTCCGCGCGCGCGCGCGCCCTCGTGGTGCGAGGAGGGGGAGGAGGGGGGAGGGGAGGGGCCACCTCAACCTCCGACCCGGAAGCGGCTCCACGTTGCCCACACGCGCACGCGCGAGTCTCTGTGCCTGCACGTGGGAGCGCAGCGGTGAGTGGTGGGTGCGGAGTGGTGAGTGGTGGATGCGGAGTGGTGGGTGCGGAGTGGTGAGTGGTGGGTGCGGAGTGGTGAGTGGTGGATGCGGAGTGGTGGGTGCGGAGTGGTGAGTGGTGGGTGCGGAGTGGTGAGTGGTGGATGCGGAGTGGTGGGTGCGGAGTGGTGAGTGGTGGGTGCGGAGTGGTGAGTGGTGGATGCGGAGTGGTGGGTGCGGAGTGGTGAGTGGTGGGTGCGGAGTGGTGGATGCGGAGTGGTGAGTGGTGGGTGCGGAGTGGTGAGTGGTGGATGCGGAGTGGTGAGTGGTGGGTGCGGAGTGGTGGATGCGGAGTGGTGAGTGGTGGATGCGGAGTGGTGGATGCGGAGTGGTGAGTGGTGGGTGCGGAGTGGTGAGTGGTGGATGCGGAGCGGTGAGTGGTGGGTGCGGAGTGGTGAGTGGTGGATGCGGAGTGGTGGATGCGGAGTGGTGAGTGGTGGGTGCGGAGTGGTGAGTGGTGGGTGCGGAGTGGTGAGTGGTGGATGGTGAGTGGTGAGTGGTGGGTGCGGAGTGGTGAGTGGTGGATGCGGAGTGGTGAGTGGTGGGTGCGGAGTGGTGAGTGGTGGGTGCGGAGTGGTGAGTGGTGGATGCGGAGTGGTGAGTGGTGGGTGCGGAGTGGTGAGTGGTGGATGCGGAGTGGTGAGTGGTGGATGCGGAGTGGTGAGTGGTGGGTGCGGAGTGGTGAGTGGTGGGTGCGGAGTGGTGGGTGCGGAGTGGTGAGTGGTGGGTGCGGAGTGGTGAGTGGTGGGTGCGGAGTGGTGAGTGGTGGGTGCGGAGTGGTGAGTGGTGGGTGCGGAGTGGTGGATGCGGAGTGGTGAGTGGTGGGTGCGGAGTGGTGAGTGGTGGGTGCGGAGTAGTGAGTGGTGGGTGCGGAGTGGTGAGTGGTGGATGCGGAGTGGTGAGTGGTGGGTGCGGAGTGGTGAGTGGTGGGTGCGGAGTGGTGGATGCGGAGTGGTGAGTGGTGGGTGCGGAGTGGTGAGTGGTGGATGCGGAGTGGTGAGTGGTGGATGCGGAGTGGTGAGTGGTGGGTGCGGAGTGGTGAGTGGTGGGTGCGGAGTGGTGAGTGGTGGATGGTGAGTGGTGGGTGGTGAGTGGTGGGTGCGGAGTGGTGAGTGGTGGGTGCGGAGTGGTGGGTGCGGAGTGGTGAGTGGTGGGTGCGGAGTGGTGAGTGGTGGGTGCGGAGTAGTGAGTGGTGGGTGCGGAGTAGTGAGTGGTGGGTGCGGAGTGGTGAGTGGTGGGTGCGGAGTGGTGAGTGGTGGATGCGGAGTGGTGAGTGGTGGGTGGTGAGTGGTGGATGCGGAGTGGTGAGTGGTGGGTACGGAGTGGTGAGTGGTGGGTTCGGAGTGGTGAGTGGTGGGTGGTGAGTGGTGGGTGCGGAGTGGTGAGTGGTGGGTGCGGAGTGGTGAGTGGTGTGTGCGGAGTGGTGAGTGGTGGGTGTGGAGTGGTGAGTGGTGGGTGCGGAGTGGTGAGTGGTTGGTGCTGAGTGGTGAGTGGTGGGTGCGGAGTGGTGAGTGGTGGGTGCGGAGTGGTGGGTGTGGAGTGGTGAGTGGTGGGTGTGGAGTGGTGGGTGTGGAGTGGTGAGTGGTGAGTGGTGGGTGTGGAGTGGTGAGTGGTGGGTGTGGAGTGGTGGGTGTGAAGTGGTGAGTGTGGCGTGGTGAGCGGTGGGTGTGGAGTGGTGGGTGGTGAGCGGTGGGTGTGGAGTGGTGAGTGGTGAGCGGTGGGTGTGGAGTGGTGAGTGGTGAGCGGTGGGTGGTGAGTGGTGGGAGTGGAGCGGTGAGCGATGAGCTGCGCTACGAACCTGGGCGTCACGAGTTCGAATTCCCGCTCACGGCCAACATCGGTGGCGATTATCTTGGACCGGTGCTGGGGTCCTCCCCTTGGTCGACTCGGCCTCAAACCTGGTGCGGGTGTGTAAACATCACCGCCGGGGAGATAAAGGCGGCCGGGCGTGTTGTTGGCCACCCACCCCTCGTGTGCCAGTGCCGGCCTTCGTAGGTGCGACTCGCTAATAGCACTTGCCCCGACAGTCTGTGAAGGCTACTCGGGGGATCTTTGTCCTTGTGCTGCCGCTGCTGCAGTTGGTGATCCACGTGGCCCGTGGCCTCATAGAGTCGCACACACACATACTCATAGAGACACACACACACACAGACTCATAGAGACACACACAGACTCACAGAGAGACACACACACACAGACTCATAGAGACACACACAGACTCAGAGACACACACAGACTCATAGAGACACACACAGGCTCATAGAGACACACACACACAGACTCGGAGACACACACAGACTCGGAGACACACACACACACTCATAGACACACACAGACTCACAGACACACACACACACAGACTCATAGAGACACACACAGACTCATAGAGACACACACAGACTCATAGAGACACACACAGAGACTCATAGAGACACACACAGAGACTCATAGAGACACACACAGAGACTCATAGAGACACACGCAGAGACTCATAGAGACACACACAGAGACTCATAGAGACACACACAGACTCATAGAGACACACAGAGACTCATAGAGACACACACAGAGACTCATAGAGACACACACACACAGACTCATAGACACACACAGACTCACAGAGACACACACACAGACTCATAGAGACACACACAGACTCATAGAGACACACACACAGACTCATAGAGACACACATAGACTCATAGAGACACACACACACAGACTCATAGAGACACTCACACACAGAGACTCATAGAGACACACACACAGACTCATAGAGACACACACACACAGACTTATAGACACACACACAGACTCATAGAGACACACACAGAGACTCATAGAGACACACACACAGACTCATAGAGACACACATAGACTCATAGAGACACACACACACACAGACTCATAGAGACACTCACACACAGAGACTCATAGAGACACACACACAGACTCATAGAGACACACACACACAGACTTATAGACACACACACAGACTCATAGAGACACACACACAGACTCATAGACACTCATAGAGACATCGTACACACACACAGACTCAAAGGCTCATAGAGACATCACACGTGAACAGAGACAGAGACACTGAGACACACACATAGGTCATACAGACGTCGGTCGTACATACTGACACAGAGGCAACGATTCCCCATATATACTATAACAGACAGTTGGGGCAAGTGCTGTTAGCGAGCACCTATTAAGGACAATACAGCACACACGGTGGTGGGTAGACGACACCACGCTCAGCCACCTTTGTCTCTCCAGTGCTCATGTTCACGCACCACACTAAATCTTGTACGTATATTGAACTTCTTTCGCATCGCACGTAGCCAACCGTGCTAATCGGAGGTGCGGGGGAAGTGTTCGAGAATGAGTCGACCTGGGGGAGGCCCTGGACCAGCTCTAACATCACTCGCCACTGATGCTCGACGTGGCCGGGAATCGAACTCGGGTTGGTTGGGTCCGCAGCGCGGTGTGCGCAGCACTGCACCGTACGGGGCGGGGTTTTCCCGATTCACGTAAACTATCTCCGTCCTTGCCTGGTTATGCACTTGGCTCTGAAGAATGGACGTTGCCTGAAATGTCAGCCTTAGGCATGGGTGGGAGAACCTTTGACTTTGCTGTTGGCCGAGTGGGACTTTCGGATCCCTTGGGCAGGCAACCAAACGTTCACACTAGCAGGCCATCATCGTCCTCTTCTGACACAAGTCAATTCTGTGTGCCCAGGGTGAGAACTCAGAAGACCAGGATAAGGGAGCCTCGTTCACACGAGCGGTGACCGGGGTCACCAACAACGACAAGAGGCCCTTTGCGGTCAAAGAAGCGACCGTTGCGTAGCTTCAAATCTAGAACCGCGGAGGTTCGAATTCCAGCTTGAAAACAGGTCCCCTCGAGGTACTGCCTCAGCGCTGCTGGGGGGACGACGCCTGCTGTGACGGATGATCGCCGCTTGTGGGCCAACTCCGAGTGGCGGGCGTGAGATGCTGCGACCCTACGGATCGCGCCATTTGAGGCCCGCGCCCGCCTCGGTCTTTCCCCCGTGACCGCTCGCTGTTCTGGCTCGGCGAGGGCCGCGCGGGCCCGCCCGCCTGCCGAGCATTTGCCAATGTGTAATCCTCCGGGACGGCTAAGCCGGCTTCCTAATCCCGCATCACGCCACCAGACCAGCAGGGCTAGTCGCCAGCGGTTCCTTTTCTAGTCGGGGACTTGATTAGATATTTAAGGTGGACTTATGGTCGTGCCGGTCGATTAGTACAATGTGCACTTTGCGTTGACGCCATGGGTGTGGGGGGGGGGTGCTGCTTCACGAAATGTCTGACAAATCCATCTAAAGTGACAGATCAAAATAACAACAATCCCGACTGCTCTAAGCAAGCGTGTGGCGACGCGTTGCTCGTCTCCCTCCGTTGTTCTCTGCTCGGCTCAATCTGAGTGTCGCTATCCATAAAGAAATAAAAAATCCGCTTCTTGTTTGTTTAGCGTTTCAAAGCGGTAACTCACCGTCTTGACATGGCCCTGTCGTGTTACCGCAAAACCTAGTCTGGCTGGATTGGTGAAATATAAATATAAGAAGTTTTAGGTTTTATGTGCACTTAAGGCTGCCGCAGTGCGCATCCCAGCTCTTCGTTGCAAAAGAAGGGGCCACGCTGAGTCACCGTGCCTCAATGCCTTCAACGCAGAAGATCCCCTGGGGTTTGATCTTCCACAAAGCTGCTCACGGTCCATCCTAAACCGCATCCGCTGCACAAACCATGGCAGCAGTAGATGCGGGTAGCTGATGCTGCACAAATGGCAAATAAAAAAATCTCCAGTAGCAGTGTGCGACTGTAGTCATCCAGAACAGACCATGCAACGTGTAACGACACAAAGGCCCCGATCAAGAAATACGAAGGAGACATCGCAGCAACGATGATACACTGCTATTCCTCTGCTCCTGACCATCCGAATGTGAAATTGTAGCAATCTGCATCAGCCCCATACGAGAAAAGAGGAATGCCTTCATTTTATTTGCGGGCCACATGGCCAGGACCCGCAAGGGGACATTGAACGCTGACATCTCGGTTGTTGCTTGCCAGTTGATGGTGGTCATGGCGACAGCGCGTGCGGTGAGAGAGCCGTGCAACCCTTCGTCACGCACGGGCAAGAAGCCGTCGGGTTCTTGACCTCTGGCACCCGATAGAAACTGTCGCGGTTAATCCTTTGGTAAGTCCAACTTCGCGACATCTTCATCCAAATGCGGGAGCTCAAATGAATTACGGCGCAAGCACGAAAAAGACTTGCTGACCTCTCAGCCCATCATCTCTCCGTATTTGATAAAACTAGTACCACGTTGTGGGGATATGAGTAACCCAGGATAGCCTCATCCTTGCCATAGGAATGTGGAATTTCCACCACTGGCTCAGGGCCTATAAGCAGCAGATGAGCAACGCCTTCACGCTCTATTCGAGCAGGGAACCGCTTCTCGACTTTTCTTTTGACGATCAAACTCCCGTTACGACGCGAGGTTCACGCGTCCCACCGCGGCCCCAAACACTGGAGAGGTGCGCTGAGCGAACAAGGAGGGGAGGTGACGAGTTGGTTGGGGTGGAGGGATGTGAAGGCCGGGACGGGCCGTCCTGCCGGCGACGCGCGACGCGACGACCCCAGAGTGTGAGCGTTGGGACGTATTGGCGGTACACCGGAGCAGCATAACACACCGGTTCTCATAAAACAGTCAAAAAATGAATAAAGTACAAATTTGAATCGGCACGTCTGTTTATCGGTCTTTAATTGACCCCGTCGCCAGGTTTGACGCGAGTCGAAGGTTTATTCGGTCTGCTGACACTTGCAAAAAAAAAAAGGTCAACATTGACCGTTGATTTGGGTTCCTTTCAATCGAGGAACCGCCCGACCAAGTCTCGAGAATGAGGAGTCAAATCACGGAGCCAACCACTGGCGGAGCCAGTGGGGGGGTGGGGTGGCACGTTCCCCCCCAATGATCCGATCTAAATCCCTAATTTCGATTGGATTATTGGGGTTTATTAGTAATAAATCAGCATTTTGCGACCCCCACTGCCACTGTGTAGCATATTATTATGTGCCAGGGACTCTATGAGATGATAGGACAATAGTCTGAGTCCATAATTGGCAATAAGTAACGGCAAAGCGGTTATAAGTGACTCACAGAATTGTGCACAGTTGCGTATACAGTACACGATTTCCCTGAAGGCATTCACCTTCAGCGAGTGCGATGCCGATCACACGCAGTTCGAATTCGACCCTCGATCGATGGCTGCGCTATCGCCAGACACGCGTCGAATAAAAAGCAAGGGACAAGTCCTTACTTACTCACAACTCCTTTCATTTTTCATTGCTGGAGGGGTTGCCACTCTACCTGAAAATCCTGGCTCCGCCATTGGAGCCAACCAATCGTCTTCAGGCTGGGTGTGGCTATACGGCAACAGACTGTGAAGCTTCGTGCTCAGCCCGCTCGTATCAACATTCGGCCTTCCGACTGCTTCTCCACGACGATCACTGATTTTGACTGGACGCGGTGTGCCCTGATAGTTTTCGTGGTGGTGGTTGTATTCGTCGCTTGGTTCCATTAATGCACATCTGTAACTTCTTGTGTCTGGTATCTTTCTCTCTAAATAAGTAAATAACCAGGGTTAGATTGGATTCTTTAGCCTGGAATTTCACCAAAACCTGCCACATAACGCGAACTCACGTTCCTCCTTGGGCGAATGACACTCATCCTGGCCTCTTGACTTCTCGCCGGGTTAAGCAAGTGCACTTGACACACTACTGTATGGCATGCCTTCAATAAATACCCCGTGGTGAACTTCCTCCATCTGTTCTGTTGTTGTGTTGATGTGGTGTTGTTGTGGTGTTGTTGATGTGTTGTGCTGTTGTGGTGTTGTGGTGTTGCTGTGGTGTTGTTGGTGTGTTGTGGTGTTGTGATGGTGTTGTTGCTGTGGTGTCGTGTTGATGTGGCGGTGGTGTTGTTGTGTTGTTGCAGCTCCCCGGGTGACGCGGTGCGCTCTTGGAGGAGAGCCCGATGCCCTATCGCGCCCCCCGTCGTCAACCCGTGAGCCGCAGCGCCTGAGTTCTCATCCCTGGATGACCGCGCCGGCCCGCAGGTGGGTCGTCGCCGACGATCCCCGGCGCGTCGCCGCGTCCCGTCTCCGTCCCGCGGCCACCGCGAGCCGGTTCCCACCTCGCCGCGCCGGGCAGACCTCGACGTGAAGCGGCAGGCACAGTGACCGCTGATCCAGCACCCACTGCTCTGCTCTCTCGCCGGCGGTCAGTCGCCCCCTGCTCACTCATCTGTCGCTAATAATATTGGTTCCTGTTCCCTTGAATATCACTCGCTCCCTCGCTCAAGTCCACCACACCCACCCCACCCCACCCACCCCACACCGCCTACCCCAAATCACCCACCCACTCCACCCACTCCTCCCCACCCCAATTCTCTACACCCACCCCACCACACCCACCCCACACCACCCACCCCACCCATCCCACACCACCCACCCCACCCATCCCACACCACCAACCCACTCCACCCACTCCACCCACTCCACCCCACCCCAACCCACCACACCCTTCCCACAATCCACCACACTCACGATGAAGCGGTTCAGGTGCCGGGCGGATCGTCGCATCGCACGACCTTGAGAGGCGGCGGTATCTTGGGGAAGCCACCATCTAGCAGCAGATTGACAGGAGGGGACATCTGTAACGGGCCTGTCGTGAAAATCGTCAGGGTCTCCGAGGTTGAAGGAGGACATTCATTGTGTTCCAATGGGCTTGTAGTCCTCTATGGTGGGAGCTTTGAGCCAGCAGTGGAGAGTCCACGTTCCCGTGGTTTGAGTCGGTCTCTCCGTAGGACGGCTGCTGTTGACGTCATGTAAAGTGGTACCTCATGTATTAGCCTCGGGGAGGGGGGTGGGGGGAGACTGCCCCACCTCCCCAACTACACTGTAGGCATCACAACAACACTCACTCACCCACTCACCACACTGCAGGTGACAACAACACTCACCCACTCACCACACTGCAGGTGACAACAACACTCACCCACTCACCACACTGCAGGTCACAACAACACTCACCCACTCACCACACTGCAGGCCACAAGAACACTCACCCACTCGCCACACTGCAGGTTATAACAACACACCCACTCACCATACTGCAGGCATCACAGCAACACACTCACCCACTCACCACACTGCAGGTCACAACAACACTCACCCACTCACCACACTGCAGGTTATAACAACACACCCACTCACCATACTGCAGGTATCACAGCAACACACTCACCCACTCACCACACTGCAGGTCACAACAACACACCCACTCACCATACAGCAGGCATCGCAGCAACACACTCACCCACTCACCACACTGCAGGTTATAACAACACACCCACTCACCATACTGCAGGCATCACAGCAACACACTCACCCACTCACCACACTGCAGGTCACAACAACACACCCACTCACCATACAGCAGGCATCACAGCAACACACTCACCCACTCACCACACTGCGGGTCACAACAACACACCTACCCACTCGCCATACTGTAGGCATTACAGCAACACACACACTCACCCACTCACCACTCTGCAGGCATCACAACAACACATCCACCACCACACTGCAGGTCACAACAACACTCACCACTCACCACACTGCAGGCATCACAACAACATTCACTCACCCACTCACCACACTGCAGGTCACAACAACACTCACCCACTCACCACACTGCAGGTCACAACAACACTCACCCACTCACCACACTGCATGCTTCACAACAACACTCACCCACTCACCACACTGCAGGCATCACAACAACACTCCCACCCACTCACCACACTGCAGGTCACAACAACACTCACCCACTCACCACACTGCAGGCATCACAACAACACCCACTCACCACTTTACAGGCATCACAACAACACCCACTCACCACACTGCAGGTCACAACAACACACCCACTCACCACACTGCAGGCATCACAACAACACACCCACCCACTCACCAAACTGCAGGTCACAACAACACACTCACCCACTCACCACACTGCAGGTCACAACAACACTCACCCACTCACCACACTGCAGGCATCACAACAACACCCACTCACCACTCTACAGGCATCACAACAACACCCACTCACCACACTGCAGGTCACAACAACACACCCACTCACCACACTGCAGGCATCACAACAACACACCCACCCACTCACCAAACTGCAGGCATCACAACAACACTCACCCACTCACCACACTGCAGGTCACAACACACTCACCCACTCACCATACTGTAGGCATCACTATAATACACTCACCACACTGGAGGCATCACAACAACACACACACCACCACAATGCAGGTATCACAACAACAACAACAACACACCCACCCACCACCACACTGCATGCATCACAACAACTGTTTCTCTTCTTTGCTCCACTTTGGAATTCCCTCCCGTCGTTGTTTTTTTCCAAGCTCTCATAACAGCCTCGCTGAATTCAAGACACGTGTTCCACTCGCTGATCTATTACAACTTTGACGGTGCTGTTTGTTACTGCCCACTTTACGTTATGGACCATTGGGCCCTGTCCTCATCAACTCTGTTTCAAAGTACACAGAGATCAGCGTGCATCTGTATGCTGCGTACATGGCACATCACATGTGATCCGGCTTAGGCTGATTGGTATTCGTCTTTGCTGTGGGGATTAATTGGAGCCTCCGTATTGCGTTGTGCAGGGTTTAATGGGTTGTTTACAATGTGTGGAGGCTTCTCCCTGCGCCCCCAACACGCCTCCATGCTGCTTGGGAATCTGCATAAAGCCATCTATCAATTAACCCATCCGTCCATAAATCCATACATAAACCCATCCATTAGAAACCGATCTGTCCATAACCCATACTTCCATAAACCCATCTGCCTATGAAATCATCCGTCTATGAACCTGTACGCCAATGAACCTCTCCGTGCTTTTTCTAAACATTGCGTTTGTGAGCAGTGCATTTGTGAGTAGTGCGGTGTGTTTGTGAGCTGTGCGTTGGTTAGCGGTGCGTTTGTGTGCGGTGCGTTGGTGAGTGGTGCGCTTGTGAGCGGTGCGTTTGTGAGCGTTGCGTTTGTGAGCGTTGCGTTTGTGAGCGTTGCGTTTGTGAGCGTTGCGTTTGTGAACGGTGCGTTGCGTTTGTGAGCGTTGCGTTTGTGAGCGTTGCGTTTGTGAGCGGTGCGTTTGTGAGCGGTGCGTTTGTGAGCATTGCGTTTGTGAGCGTTGCATTTGTGAGCGTTGCGTTTGTGAGCGTTGCTTTTGTGAACGGTGCGTTTGTGAGCGGTGCGTTTGTGAGCGTTGCGTTTGTGTGCATTGTGTTTGTGAGCAATGTGTTTGTTAGCGGTGCGTTTGTGTGCATTGTGTTTGTGAGCAATGTGTTGGTGAGCGGTATGTTTGTGAGCATACAAACATACCGCAGATGCAGGAGGAGAATGAGGGACGATGTCGCTCTGATTGACGACCACAAAGCAGCGCTCCTATCGAGTGAAATGCATTTCAGTGAAAGCTCACCCCCCATTGGTTTCTAAATCATGTGATCGATGGCAATTAAAGTGGCGCTTTCCAGTTTCAGTGACAGCTCAGTCTGTTTCTAGAGAGTCGTTTTGTCACCGGCGAGGAAGCCAGCATTTTGTCAAAGGGATGTTTCTGCCTGAGGTTGTCGCGTCTCACCGCGACGTCCGTCTCTACGGAGAGCGACCGGGGCAGACGCGCTGCCATTTATGTTTGCGGTATTTCGAGTTTTCGTCGGATTACGGACAGATCCGAGTTGTCCGTCGGTCAATCGGCGCTCTCGTCTATGAACTACCATCGCAGTCGTGTCAGCCGTGGTCAATCAACTAAAGGTGGTTTGGGGGGGCGGGGGGGGGCCGCCCACCGTGGCCCCCCCCCTCCCCCGCGCGCGGCCACCAATCGGAGCGCAGCCACAGCGGCGCAGCGGCGCCACTCGAGCCGCTCACTGCCTCCTTAGGAGACTAGGCGATCGCTAATCAGCTCCTGATCTCCGCACGCGCGCTCGTGAGCCCGCCCCTGCCCGCCGGCAGGCCCGCCGGGCTGCTTGTCTGGTGCCCACCGGGCTGCTTGTCTGGTGCCCACCGGGCTGCTTGACTGGTGCCCACCGGGCTGCTTGTCTGGTGCCCACCGGGCTGCTTGACTGGTGCCCGCCGGGCTGCTTGACTGGTGCCCACCGGGCTGCTTGACTGGTGGCCACCGGGCTGCTTGACTGGTGCCCGCCGGGCTGCTTGTCTGGTGCCCACCGGGCTGCTTGACTGGTGCCCACCGGGCTGCTTGACTGGTGCCCGCCGGGCTGCTTGACTGGTGCCCACCGGGCTGCTTGTCTGGTGCCCGCCGGGCTGCTTGACTGGTGCCCGCCGGGCTGCTTGACTGGTGCCCGCCGGGCTGCTTGACTGGTGCCCGCCGGGCTGCTTGACTGGTGCCCGCCGGGCTGCTTGACTGGTGCCCGCCGGGCTGCTTGACTGGTGCCCACCGGGCTGCTTGTCTGGTGCCCGCCGGGCTGCTTGACTGGTGCCCGCCGGGCTGCTTGACTGGTGCCCGCCGGGCTGCTTGTCTGGTGCCCGCCGGGCTGCTTGACTGGTGCCCGCCGGGCTGCTTGTCTGGTGCCCGCCGGGCTGCTTGACTGGTGCCCGCCGGGCTGCTTGACTGGTGCCCACCGGGCTGCTTGACCGGTGCCCACCGGGCTACTTGACTGGTGCCCGCCGGGCTGCTTGTCTGGTGCCCACCGGGCTGCTTGACCGGTGCCTGCCGGGCTGCTTGACCGGTGCCCGCCGGGCTGCTTGTCTGGTGCCCGCCCGCGTGGCCGTCCGGCGCCCGCTCGGCAGCGTGCCGCGGAGCTTCCCCGGGGACCGCAGCGCTGGCCGGCGCTGGACGGGGCGGTGACCGCGACCTCCCCCCCCTCCCCCCCGCGCATGGGCACCCAGTCGTGACCCTGACCTCTCGGCGGCGGTGCCGGCGGTGCCGGCGGTGAGGGCGGTGAGGGCGGTGAGGGCGGTGGGGGTGATGAGTGTACAGCGGCCTGCAACCGGCGGAGCGTGAGGCTTGTGAGCAGTAAAGGCGGCGTGTGCGGTGGTTGCCGTTAGCGAGCTGAGGCGTGGCCAGTGACAGCTGCTCCCGTGCGTGTGTAAGCTGTTTGTGTGTGAGTTGTGTGTGTGTGTGAGCTGTGTGTGTGTGTTGTGTGTGTGTGAGCTGTGTGTGTGTGTGTGAGAGCTGTGTGAGAGCTGGGTGTGTGTTAGCTGTGTGTGTGTTGGCTGTGTGTGTGTGGGCTGTGTGTGTGTGAGCTGTGTGTGTGTGAGCTGTGTGTGTGTGTGAGCTGTGTGTGTGTGTGAGCTGTGTGGGTGTGGGCTGTGTGTGTGTGTGCTGTGTGTGTGTGAGCTGTGTGTGTGTGAGCTGTGTGTGTGTGAGCTGTGTGTGTGTGAGCTGTGTGTGTGTGGGCTGTGTGTGTGTGGGCTGTGTGAGAGCTGGGTGTGTGTAAGCTGTGTGTGAGCTGTGTGTGTGTGTGTGGGCTGTGTGTGTGTTGGCTGTGTGTGTGTGGGCTGTGTGTGTGTGAGCTGTGTGAGAGCTGGGTGTGTGTGAGCTGTGTGAGAGCTGTGTGTGTGTGTGTGAGCTGTGTGAGAGCTGTGTGTGTGTGAGCTGTGTGTGTGTGAGCTGTGTGTGTGTGAGCTGTGTGGGTGTGGGCTGTGTGTGTGTGGGCTGTGTGTGTGTGAGCTGTGTGAGAGCTGTGTGTGTGTGAGCTGTGTGTGTGTGAGCTGTGTGGGTGTGAGCTGTGTGTGTGTGAGCTGCGTGTGTGTGTGAGCTGTGTGTGTGTGAGCTGTGTGAGAGCTGGGTGTGTGTGAGCTGTGATGTGTGAGGTGTGTGTGGGCTGTGTGTGTGTGGGCTGTGTGTGTGTGAGCTGTGTGTGTGTGAGCTGTGTGTGTGTGAGCTGTGTGGGTGTGAGCTGTGTGTGTGTGAGCTGTGTGTGAGCTGTGTGTGTGTGTGAGCTGTGTGTGTGTGTGAGCTGTGATGTGTGTGAGCTGTGATGTGTGAGGTGTGTGTGGGCTGTGTGTGTGTGGGCTGTGTGTGTGTGGGCTGTGTGTGTGTGGGCTGTGTGTGTGTGAGCTGTGTGGGTGTGAGCTGTGTGTGTGTGAGCTGTGTGTGAGCTGTGTGTGTGTGTGAGCTGTGTGTGTGTGTGAGCTGTGTGTGTGTGTGAGCTGTGTGTGTGAGCTGTGTGTGTGTGAGCTGTGTGTGTGTGAGCTGTGTGGGTGTGAGCTGTGTGTGTGTGAGCTGTGTGTGTGTGAGCTGTGTGAGAGCTGGGTGTGTGTGAGCTGTGATATGTGTGAGGTGTGTGTGGGCTGTGTGTGTGTGGGGTGTGTGTGTGTGGGCTGTGTGTGTGTGGGCTGTGTGTGTGTGTGTGAGAGCTGTGTGTGAGCTGTGTGTGTGTGTGAGCTGTGTGTGTGTGTGAGCTGCGTGTGTGTGTGAGCTGTGTGTGTGAGCTGTGTGTGAGCTGTGTGTGTGTGTGAGCTGTGCGTGAGTGTGAGCTGTGCGTGTGTGTGAGCTGTGTGGGTGTGTGAGCTGCGTGTGTGAGCTGCGTGTGTGTGTGAGCTGCGTGTGTGTGTGAGCTGCGTGTGTGTGTGAGCTGCGTGTGTGTGTGAGCTGCGTGTGTGTGTGAGCTGCGTGTGTGTGTGAGCTGTGTGTGTGTGTGAGCTGTGTGTGTGTGAGCTGCGTGTGTGTGAGCTGTGTGTGTGTGAGCTGCGTGTGTGTGTGAGCTGTGTGTGTGAGCTGTGTGTGTGAGCTGTGTGTGTGAGCTGTGTGTGTGTGTGTGAGCTGTGTGTGTGTGAGCTGTGTGTGTGAGCTGCGTGTGTGTGTGTGTGAGCTGCGTGTGTGTGTGAGCTGCGTGTGTGTGTGAGCTGCGTGTGTGTGAGCTGTGCGTGAGTATGAGCTGCGTGTGTGTGTGAGCTGCGTGTGTGTGTTGTGTGTGTGTGCTGTGTGTGTGTGACGCTGTGTGTGTGTGAGCTGCGTGTGTGTGAGCTGTGCGTGAGTGTGAGCTGCGCGTGTGTGTGAGCTGTGCGTGAGTGTGAGCTGTGTGTGTGTGTGAGCTGTGTGGGTGTGTGAGCTGCGTGTGTGTGAGCTGTGCGTGAGTGTGAGCTGTGTGAGTGTGAGCTGCATGTGTGTGAGCTGCGTGTGTGTGAGCTGCGTGTGTGTGAGCTGCGTGTGTGAGAGCTGCGTGTGTGAGCTGTGTGTGTGTGTGTGAGCTGCGTGTGTGTGACGCTGTGTGTGTGTGTGAGCTGTGTGTGTGAGCTGCGTGTGTGTGACGCTGTGTGTGTGTGTGAGCTGTGTGTGTGAGCTGTGTGTGTGTGAGAGCTGTGTGTGTGTGTGCTATGCGTGTGTGTGAGCTGCGTGTGTGTGAGCTGCGTGTGTGTGAGCTGCATGAGTATGAGCTGCGTGTGTGTGAGCTGCTTGTGTGTGAGAGCTGTGTGTGTGTGTGTGAGCTGTGTGTGTGTGAGAGCTGTGTGTGTGTGTGTGAGCTGCGTGTGTGTGAGCTGCGTGTGTGTGAGCTGCGTGTGTGTGAGTGTGAGCTGCGTGTGTGTGAGCTGCGTGTGTGTGAGCTGCGTGTGTGTGTGTGAGTGCTATGAGCTGTGTGTGTGTGTGAGCTGTGTGTGTGCTATGAGCTGTGTGTGTGTGTGCTATGAGCTGTGTGTGTGTGTGTGAGCTGTGTGTGTTTGAGCTGTGTGTGTGTGATCTGTGTGAGTGTGAGCTGTGTGTGTGTGATCTGTGTGAGTGTGATGTGTGTGATGTGTGTGTGCTGTGTGTGTGTGTGCTGTGTGTGTGTGAGCTGTGTGTGTGTGAGAGCTGTGTGTGTGTGTGTGAGCTGTGTGTGTGTGTGAGCTGTGTGTGTGTGTGAGCTGTGCGTGTGTGTGTGCTATGTGTGTGTGTGAGCTGTGTGTGTGTGTGAGCTGTGTGTTTGTGAGCTGCGTGTTTGTGAGCTGCGTGTGTGAGCTGCGTGTGTGAGCTGCGTGTGTGTGAGCTGCGTGTGTGTGTGTGCTGTGTGTGTGTGAGCTGCGTGTGTGTGTGTGTGCTGTGTGTGTGTGTGTGAGCTGTGCGTGTGTGTGAGCTGTGTGTGTGAGCTGTGCGTGTGTGTGAGCTGTGCGTGTGTGTGAGCGGTGTGTGTGTGAGCTGTGTGTGTGTGAGCTGTGTGAGCTGTGTGAGCTGTGTGTGTGTGAGCTGTGTGTGTGTGTGAGCTGTGTGTGTGTGTGAGCTGTGTGTGCGTGAGCTGTGTGTGTGTGTGAGCTGTGTGTCTGAGCTGTGTGTCTGAGCTGTGTGTGTGTGAGCTGCGTGTGTGTGTGAACTGTGTGTGAGCTGTGTGCGTGTCTCCGTGTGGCATGCTACAAATCGCTCCCTGTCCGTACTGCGTGCCCGATGCACGGTGAGCCAACGTTGATTCTCTTTCTGTGGGGCGGCGCGCCCGGCTCCCGTGACCACGGATCGTCGCCCGTTCCTTGCCAAGTGGGATCGTGCCGGGCGTCGCCCGCTGCGCCCGTGGTCACGGCGGGGGCACAAACTGCTGCTCCTGCTGCTGTGCTGCTCCTGCTGCTGTGCTGCTACTGCTGCTGTTGATGCGCTGCTACTACTGCTGCGCTGCTGCCGCTGCCGCTGCAATGTTGCTGCTGCTGCGTGTGACTTCCACGAGGTCGGTGCAACGCCGAGCAACTCGTTCATCGTGCCGTTGCACTGCCGCAGCGTCGGCACCTTCTGTCGCTGAACGGCCAGAAGAATCGGCCCCGAGCGGCGGGCGGGGTCGATGGTGGCAGAGCGTGCGTCATGACCGTCACGGAGGAGATGGGTCGGCCTCCTCTTAGAATCCTAGTTGAACAATCAGGAGCGGCTTTTGCTTTCTGCTTGTATGTCAGCCATTACGGAGCCCTTTGTCAATCCATTGCTGGATTTCGGCCTCTCCTTGTCAGTTATGGGAGTTGATTGACCATACTTCACCACGCCGATCAATGGGGATTGTTCAAGGGAAGGCCCGGGACCGTTTCTCATCTCACTCGTTGCTGATGCTAGCCGTGGCCGGTAATCAAACTCTGGAGCGGTCTCCACCCATCCGGCGGCCGTCAGGGCGGGTCTCGAAGGCCGCCGCGTGTCTTGGCTGCGGGAATGGCAGGGGGGGGGGGGGGGACTTCACCGCGGCCTCGGATGTCGCCCGCAGGACCGCCGCGCCCGCCACCGCGGCGGCATGGAGCTGGGCAAGGCGAAGCTGCTGCGCAGCGGCGTCAACGCCCTGCGGCGTGCCGTGCACCCCTCGCTGGGCCTCGCGTGGACCGACGGCAAGCAGCTGCTGCTGTCCGGCCTCCACGCGGGCGGAGAGGAGGAGGAGCCGGAGGAGGCGGCGGTGGTCGGGCGACTGGGCGGCGCGGCGACGCTGGGCAGCTTCGAGCACGTCTACGGCGTGAGCTGGGGCCCCGCCGACTCCGCGCTGCCCGCGCTGCTCGCCGTGCAGCACAAGAAGCACGTCACCGTCTGGCAGGTGAGGGCAGCGGGCGCACGCGGAGCGGGGGAATGAATAACCCGTTTTCGTGGCACCCACTCACCCACCCACTCACTCACCTACCAACCCACCCATTCACTCAGTCAAACCAACACACCCGGTCCACCCACTCATCAGAACCACCCATCAGACCCACCAACTGAACAACCCACCCACCAAACTCACATACCCACACACCCACTCACTCACCTACTCACTCACCCACTCAACCTGACCCACTCAACCCGAGCCACTCACTCACTCACTCATCCATTCACCCACCCAACCCACTTACTCATCCACCCACCCACCGAACCCACCCCACCCAACCCATCCACCCACCCATCCACCCACCGATCCAAACCACCCGCTCACCCACCCACCCACCATCCCACCCAAACCAACCCACTCATCCTTCATCCAGCAGTGGAGTGACACGGGCACGGTGTACGGCCTGCGGCGTCCGTGTGGAAGCCTCACCGTGGCGCGGGACCCTCTCGCTCCCCCCGCCCCCACCAGGTGACGCCCGCCGGAGGCAACGACGCTCGCCCAGCGTGCTCGCGGCTTTGCGAGCGCGAGGAGCCGTTCGCCATCCTGCCGCAGGGCTGCGTGTGGCACCCACGCTCCGAGACGCTGGTGCTGCTCACCAAGCGCGATGCCTGCCTGCTCTACTCGCTGCGCTCCGACGCCCGCTCCGTCCGCGCCGACATCCGCGGCAGCGGCCTGGTGCGCTGCGCCGCATGGACGACGGACGGCGCGCGCCTGGTGCTGGCCGTGGGCACGGCGCTGCACTCGTACCTGTGGGACGAGCCCAGCCGCTCGCTGCAGCCGTGCGGCTTCTCCCACGTGCTCGACGTGGGCGGCTACGTGTGTGCCGTGGAGGCCGCGTGCGACGCCCGCGTGCTCGTGGCCACCGAGCTGCCCCTGGACCGCGTCTGCGGCCTCGACGCGGCTGGCGCGCCCTTCGAGCTGCCCGGGGCGTCGTTCGACGGCGCGCCGGGCTCCTCGCCGAACACGCTGCGCCCGCGCGAGGACGCCGAGGACGGCGCCACGAGGCCCCGCGGGCGCTCGCCGGAGCCCCGCGGCGGGTTCGTGGCGGACGACGGCACGGGCCGCGGGCCCGTCGTCGACCTCACGCACCTGCTGGCCCACCACCGCAAGTCGGACCCCGGGCCGCTGATCCGGCTCAAGCGCAGGGACCTATCGAGCGGCAGCGGCGGCAGCGACGACGACAGCTCGCACCTCCTGCTGGTCACGCTGGACCAGAAGGCGACGACCACCAGGAAGGTGCGCCTGCCGGGGCTGCTGGTGCCGGACCTGCTGGCCTACGACGCGACCGCCGACACCGTGGCCGTCGCCTCCAACACGTCCGCCTCGGTGCTCGTGTACTCCCTGAGCGGCCGCGGGATCTCGCCGCTGCAGCACGTCACGCTGGGGCGCGACGAGCGGCCCAAGGGGCTGTGCTTCCTGGCCCCGTCGCACTCCCTGGCGATGCTGGTCGGCCGGCAGAAGCAGTCGGAGCCGGCGTTCCTGCCCTGCGCCAGCACGGACCGCTACGCGCTGCGGCTGGTCGTGCGCGACGTGGCGGTGGAGGGGCCCGGCCGCTTGTCCCCGCGGGCCGGCACTCGGCCGTCCGAGGGCCGCGACGCCAACCCGGGCCCCGCCGGCGGGCTGCGGGAGCTGTGGCCGCCCTGCGACGAGCCGCGCCGGCAGGCGTCCTCGCCGCGCCGGTTGACGGAGGAGCTCTCGAGGGCCTCCGCGGACGACCGGCGGCCGCGTCGCCCGAGCGGGGAGGCCGCCGGACACTTCGCTCGCGACGTCTCCCCGCCGCTCGAGAGCTTCGAGCGCGAACCGGCGGGCGGGGCCGCGAGGCCGCGGGGCAGTCCGGAGCCGCGCCGGCCCAGCGGGGGAGCTCCGCGGAGGGCGCCCAGCCCTCGCGACGCCGAGCGGGACGGCCCGGCGCGGGGGCCCGTGGGCCGAGCGGCGAGCCCCGGCCCGTGGGATGCCGAAGGCTCGGCCGCGGGCCGCGCGCTTCGGGGGCTGTGGGAGCGGCTGGACCGCGTGCAGGCCGAGGTGGGCGAGGTGCGGCAGCTCGTGCTGGCGTTGCGGCCGGAGCAGCGAGTGCTGGCTGCGTCGGGCCCTCCGCGCTGGGTGAGAGTTCGCTGCCAGCCGCGGGTAAGGGCCCCATTCTACTCCCACCGTCTCACACGGCCACTCGTCATTGCCACGATCGTCGTCGGCCATTGGTCAATCCACTGCTGGATGGAGACCCACCACAGCTTGTGTTGGTGCGTGCTGATTTATAAACTCTCTTCACTGAATGGCTGGGGGTAGCCCTGGCAGCATCGGTGGCCTGAGTTGCGCGTCTCCGCGCTCTGCCTTCTGTTGGCTATGGATAATGGGTTCCGTAGCAAACACAGACGGTGCTGAGTGGGGGCTAGGAGTGAGGTTGTGTGGGAACTACACCAGAGTGGTCGTGATTAGGGGGGGTGGCACTCTACAACTTATTTGTCATTAAAACTGTATGTATATGCAGTATTTTAATTGTTTAAATTGTATGTAGTGTATAATGTACCGTATATATTATTTGACACTGAAATCAAGCATAGCTGCTTTTTTTACACGCATGTGGAGAGCTGATCTCTGGACTGGTACAGCCTTTGGAGCGGTTTTCCAGCGATCGCCGGATCACATGCCGGTTTCGCAAGATCGGCGCCGGATAATGTTGGAAGTCGGATAATCAATCGATTATCTACTGTGCATCTCCTTCACGTAGCTGCCATTGGCCAGACGGCCTTCTGGGAGGGCTTAATTTCCAAGCTGTGGACCGGTTCCGACGTTCAGTGTCTCTCATCATCAGTCTAGATTTAATTTGCTTCTTGCCCTTCCCCACAGTGACGCTCGTGAGTCCATTGCTCTATATCCTGCACAGGATGTAGTGGTAACGCTCGCGGCTCGGAGGGCGCCTCTCCCTGTGTGGAGTCTGAAGGTTCTCGCTCTCCTCCCCCCGTGTTCGGCACGGGCTTCCACTGCGTGCTCTCCAGTTTTCTCCCAGAGCTAAACCCACACGCACGGTGGAACTGCTTTTGGGCAAAACCTACCCAATGCTGAGAAATTACCTGAAAATCAGTCTAAACTATTCTAAACGAAACTATTTTACTTGTTACCAGGTAAGGCCCATTGAGCTATGCAGCTTTTCTTCAGAAGCGACCTGGCCACAAATGATGGGTCAACGAAGTGGCTTATCGCGTGGAAATTCCACGCAGTCAAATACTCTAAACGCGTGATGTTGATCCTAAATGTGGAGGGAAAAACTGGACGACCCGCAGAAAAATCCACACGACCACGGGGAAAACACACAAACTCCAAATATACAGCCGGTGTACGAGGTCGGGAATCGAGCCCAAGACCTCCTGTAGACCAGGCGAGGCAGTTAACATCTCACCACAATCGATTGGGATCGCACAGCAGGAACACCTGCGTCATCGCGCCCCCCCCCCACTGCACAGGTACCCTCCTGAACAAGAGTCTTGCGGCATTCCCAGATACACAAGCACAATGACAAAGATAGTAACAACAACAACAATAATAAATCGTTGAGTTCCGGGTGGGCGCGCTGACCGTGCCGGCGTGGCGTTTCCCCCCGCAGGGTGGCGGCAACGCGGCGCCCTTGCAGGAAGCGGAGACGCGGAACTTCCTGCTGAGCAGCGGGGGCCTCGTGCGGCTCGACGCCCTCCGGAGCGCCTTCCAGCTGTCCGCCGTCGAGATGCTCTTCGGTAGGCCGTCCACCCCCCGCCCCCCCCCCACCCTCCGCCGGCCTCCTCGTCTGTCTGTGGCCAGGCCTCATTGCCGGCCAGGCCTCATCGCCGGTCGCTCCCCTGCCCGGTCGCGACGCCATGCGGCGCTCGCAGGCCGGTGCCGTGTTGCTGAGATGTTAACTACATCGCCGGGTACATAGGAGGTCGAGGGATCGATCCTGACCGCTGAAGGATGCTGTATATTTGGAGTTTGCGGTGTATATCTCCCTGTTGTCACGTGGATTTTTCTCCGGCTCCTCCGGTTTTTTCCTCCACATTTAGAATCGACGTCACGCGTATTTGGCTGCTATATATTTCCACCCGATAAGCCACCTCGTTGAGCTGTCATTTGTGGTCACTTCTGAACAAAAGCTGTACGGCTCAGTGGGCCTTACCTGGTAACATAAAAATTGTTTAGTTTTAGTTTATTGTTCCCCTTGTAGCACACAGGGGCCTCTAGGGGGGGGGGGCGGGGAGGGCGCAAGATAAATGCAGCCGTCATTGTTATAATCCATCGAGCGTCTGCAGAAGGGCCGATTTCATTGCTCTTTCTCCGCCTTACGGACGTCTTCTCGAGCGCATTCCCTGCTTTGGCTGCCACTCTGATGTCAGTCTTGACCGCATGCCATGGTTCCGCCGTAGAGCACGCGGCTCACAGGCGGAAGGTCGATAAAAAGAACACCACTTTCTGGGGAATTCAAAAGTGATTTTCCTAGGGATAGGGCAGGAGTCGGCAAACCTGCGGTTGCGGAGCCGCATGCGTTTCTTCAAGCACTGCTTCGTGACGTTTATTAAGGAACGTCATCTCCTATTCACAGGCAATGTGGCTCTTAAAATGGGATGGACACACCACCGCCATAGGAACGTGGAATTTCCACCATTGCCTCTGAGCTGTAGACTGGAGATGAGCGCCAACGCCTCAATGTTTAGTATGGAGAGCGGTCGGTCATGGAGAGTGGTCAGTCATGGAGATCGTTGAGGCATGGAGAGTGGTGAGTGATGGAGAGTGGTGAGGCGTGGAGAGTGGTGAGGCGTGGAGAGTGGTGAGTGATGGAGAGTGGTGAGTGATGGAGAGTGGTGAGACATGGAGAGTGGTGAGTGATGGAGAGTGGTGAGACATGGAGAGTGGTGAGTCGTGGAGAGTGGTGAGACATGGAGAGTGGTGAGGCATGGAGAGTGGTGAGTGATGGAGAGTGGTGAGGCGTGGAGAGTGGTGAGGCGTGGAGAATGGTGAGACATGGAGAGTGGTGAGTGATGGAGAGTGGTGAGTGATGGAGAGTGGTAAGGCATGGAGAGTGGTGAGTGATGGAGAGTGGTGAGTGATGGAGAGTGGTGAGTGATGGAGAGTGGTGAGGCATGGAGAGTGGTGAGTGATGGAGAGTGGTGAGACATGGAGAGTGGTGAGTCGTGGAGAGTGGTGAGACATGGAGAGTGGTGAGGCATGGAGAGTGGTGAGTGATGGAGAGTGGTGATGCATGGAGAGTGGTGAGGTGTGGAGAATGGTGAGACATGGAGAGTGGTGAGTGATGGAGAGTGGTGAGGCATGGAGAGTGGTGAGTGATGGAGAGTGGTGAGACGTGGAGAATGGTGAGACGTGGAGAGTGGTGAGTGGTGGAGAGTGGTGAGTGATGGAGAGTGGTGAGGCATGGAGAGTGGTGAGGCATGGAGAGTGGTGAGTGATGGAGAGTGGTGAGACATGGAGAGTGGTGAGACATGGAGAGTGGTGAGGCATGGAGAGTGGTGAGGCATGGAGAGTGGTGAGGCATGGAAAGTGGTGAGTGATGGAGATTGGTGAGGCATGGAGAGTGGTGAGGCATGGAGAGTGGTGAGGCATGGAGAGTGGTGAGACATGGAGAGTGGTGAGGCATGGAGAGTGGTGAGTGATGGAGAGTGGTGAGTGATGGAGAGTGGTGAGACATGGAGAGTGGTGAGACATGGAGAGTGGTGAGGCATGGAGAGTGGTGAGGCATAGAGAGTGGTGAGTGATGGAGAGTGGTGAGACATGGAGAGTGGTGAGTGATGGAGAGTGGTGAGTGATGGAGAGTGGTGAGGCATGGAGAGTGGTGAGACATGGAGAGTGGTGAGGCATGGAGAGTGGTGAGACATGGAGAGTGGTGAGTGATGGAGAGTGGTTAGTGATGGAGAGTGGTGAGACATGGAGAGTGGTGAGACATGGAGAGTGGTGAGTGATGGAGAGTGGTGAGGCATGGAGAGTGGTGAGTGATGGAGAGTGGTGAGACATGGAGAGTGGTGAGTCATGGAGAGTGGTGAGTGATGGAGAGTGGTGAGACATAGAGAGTGGTGAGGCATGGAGAGTGGTGAGTGATGGAGAGTGGTGAGTGATGGAGAGTGGTGAGGTGTGGAGAGTGGTGAGTCATGGAGAGTGGTGAGTCATGGAGAGTGGTGAGTGATGGAGAGTGGTGAGGCATGGGGAGTGGTGAGACATGGAGAGTGGTGAGAGATGGAGAGTGGTGAGACATGGAGAGTGGTGAGACATGGAGAGTGGTGAGACATGGAGAGTGGTGATTAATGGAGAGTGGTAAGACATGGAGAGTGGTGAGGCATGGAGAGTGGTGAGACATGGAGAGTGTGAGTGATGGAGCGTGGTAAGACAGGAGGAGTGGTGAGGCAGGAGAAGTGTGAGGCATGGAGAGTGGTGAGGGATGGAGTGGTGAGGCATGGAGAGTGGTGAGG